AGAGCTTGTTTTTCACAGAGATTGTTTATTTCGACTTAAGTAACATGATGATCTGTTTTAAGGGTGTCCTAGAGGTCTAAAACTTAAAGGTCTATGCCATCAGCCATGACACCATAGTGGGTGGTAGTATTTTTCTTCATTAACATACTCAGTAGACCGGCGAACCCATTCTTTTTGACCTTATGAAAGAATGTAAACAGTACTGACTCGTGAAGCTTCATTGTAGACGACGAAACCACGTACAGACCCAAATTTAGTGTTAACTTAACGTAAATTTAGCTTGAGCAAATTATCGTGAAAGTGCTGTGTAGAAAACTTCAAGTTATGAAAATTTCATTTAACGTACCGCCGGACAGCAATCTTGCTTGTATAGCGCATATAGGTAGTGAAGTTTACTGAACAACTAAACCTAGAACTTGATAAACATGACATCATAAAAATGATTGTCTCATATCGTGATGAATTATCAAATGGTGAACTCACTGAATTAGAATCAACATAAGTTGCCAAAGCTGAGGCTTCAGAATCAGAACCGTTTCGTGACGGAAGAAATGACAGTCGCATTCCGTCACAGTTCAGCAGGAATGATGCGATTGGGGAAGATGGATCTTAGTGCCTCTCAAGTTTTCACGATTAAAAGTCTAAAGATATATAGATGACCATTTAGTCAGCTATGGAATGATTTATGAGAAAATGAAAGAAGCGGTTGTTATGTCATATCGTGACAGTTTCATAAGGTTGGTCGAACGGCAGAATTAAACGTTTTTCATTGTTCTATTTTCCGGTAGTATTTCATTACATTGCATTAGTAGTTAGAGCTTCAAATCTAATTTGTGTGTACATCTTGTGAATGAAACTAACAGAAATAGCTTTTAAAATATCTGAATGTGCGACTATATGTACGCAAGCAATGGCGTGTAATTAAAGAGAGGGGTGGGTTAAATCCGACTTACATACAATTTATGTAACCTGAAGCTTTGTTAAACCTTACTTTTATGTAATCAGGGTTTGTCTGTATTATGTTAGCCAATCAGATGATTCGAGATGCATCAGTGCACTGCAGGTAAGGCCTTACCATCGTAGTATCTTAACACGTTAGAGCTGGCCTGCTAAAATTATACGCTCATAAAGGATAAGTGTGAGAATCTGTTTAACTGTTTGTCTGGGGACACACTAGCAGTCAAAATTATCAGTCTCTGACCTACGCTTCAGGCTACTCCAATATTTATGAAGAGGCCACCTAATGGAATGATTGACTCAATCACTGTTATTCAATTGTTCGTTACCCGTTGTATTCAAAGTTTTCGA